TGTACCGTGTGTATTATGTGTGTACCGTGTGTATTATGCGTGTACCGTGTGTATTATGCGTGTACCGTGTGTATTATGTGTGTACCGTGTGTATTGTGTGTGTACCGTGTGTATTGTGTGTGTACCGTGTGTATTATGTGTGTACCGTGTGTATTGTGTGTGTACCGTGTGTATTGTGTGTGTACCGTGTGTATTGTGTGTGTACCGTGTGTATTGTGTGTGTACCGTGTGTATTATGTGTGTACCGTGTGTATTGTGTGTGTACCGTGTGTATTGTGTGTGTACCGTGTGTATTATGTGTGTACCGTGTGTATTATGTGTGTACCGTCTGTATTATGTGTGTACCGTGTGTATTGTGTGTGTACCGTGTGTATTGTGTGTGTACCGTGTGTATTGTGTGTGTACCGTGTGTATTATGTGTGTACCGTGTGTATTGCGTGTGTACCGTGTGTATTGTGTGTGTACCGTGTGTATTATGTGTGTACCGTGTGTATTGCGTGTGTACCGTGTGTATTGTGTGTGTACCGTGTGTATTGTGTGTGTACCGTGTGTATTATGTGTGTACCGTGTGTATTGCGTGTGTACCGTGTGTATTATGTGTGTACCGTGTGTAGTGTGTGTGTACCGTGTGTATTGTGTGTATCGTGTGTATTATGTGTGTACCGTGTGTATTATGTGTGTATTGTGTGTATTGTGTGTGTACCGTGTGTATTGTGTGTGTACCGTGTGTATTGTGTGTGTACCGTGTGTATTGTGTGTATCGTGTGTATTATGTGTGTACCGTGTGTATTATGTGTGTATTGTGTGTATTGTGTGTGTACCGTGTGTATTGTGTGTGTACCGTGTGTATTATGTGTGTACCGTGTGTATTATGTGTGTATCGTGTGTATTATGTGTGTACCCTGTGTATTATGTGTGTATCGTGTGTATTGTGTGTGTACCGTGTGTATTGTGTGTGTATTGTGTGTGTACCGTGTGTATTATGTGTGTATTGTGTGTATTGTGTGTGTACCGTGTGTATTGTGTGTGTACCGTGTGTATTGTGTGTCTACCGTGTGTATTGCGTGTGTACCGTGTGTATTATGTGTGTACCGTGTGTATTATGTGTGTACCGTGTGTATTGTGTGTGTACCGTGTGTATTGTGTGTGTACCGTGTGTATTATGTGTGTACCGTGTGTATTATGTGTGTACCGTGTGTATTATGTGTGTACCGTGTGTATTGTGTGTGTACCGTGTGTATTATGTGTGTACCGTGTGTATTATGCGTGTACCGTGTGTATTATGCGTGTACCGTGTGTATTATGTGTGTACCGTGTGTATTGTGTGTGTACCGTGTGTATTGTGTGTGTACCGTGTGTATTATGTGTGTACCGTGTGTATTGTGTGTGTACCGTGTGTATTGTGTGTGTACCGTGTGTATTGTGTGTGTACCGTGTGTATTGTGTGTGTACCGTGTGTATTATGTGTGTACCGTGTGTATTGTGTGTGTACCGTGTGTATTGTGTGTGTACCGTGTGTATTGTGTGTGTACCGTGTGTATTGTGTGTGTACCGTGTGTATTGTGTGTGTACCGTGTGTATTATGTGTGTATCGTGTGTATTGTGTGTGTACCGTGTGTATTGTGTGTGTATCGTGTGTATTGTGTGTGTATCGTGTGTATTGTGTGTGTACCGTGTGTATTATGTGTGTACCGTGTGCATTGTGTGTGTACCGTGTGTATTGTGTGTGTACCGTGTGTATTGTGTGTGTACCGTGTGTATTGTGTGTGTATCGTGTGTATTATGTGTGTACCGTGTGTATTGTGTGTGTACCGTGTGTATTGTGTGTGTACCGTGTGTATTGTGTGTGTACCGTGTGTATTATTTGTGTACCGTGTGTATTATGTGTGTATTGTGTGTATTGTGTGTGTACCGTGTGTATTATGTGTGTACCGTGTGTATTATGTGTGTACCGTGTGTATTATGTGTGTACCGTGTGTATTGTGTGTGTACCGTGTGTATTGTGTGTGTACCGTGTGTATTGTGTGTGTACCGTGTGTATCATGTGTGTACCGTGTGTATTGTGTGTGTATCGTGTGTATTATGTGTGTACCGTGTGTATTGTGTGTGTACCGTGTGTATTATGTGTGTACCGTGTGTATTGTGTGTGTACCGTGTGTATTATGTGTGTACCGTGTGTATTGTGTGTGTACCGTGTGTATTGTGTGTGTACCGTGTGTATTGTGTGTGTACCGTGTGTATTGTGTGTGTACCGTGTGTATTGTGTGTGTACCGTGTGTATTGTGTGTGTACCGTGTGTATTGTGTGTGTACCGTGTGTATTATGTGTGTACCGTGTGTATTGTGTGTGTACCGTGTGTATTGTGTGTGTACCGTGTGTATTGTGTGTGTACCGTGTGTATTATGTGTGTACCGTGTGTATTGTGTGTGTACCGTGTGTATTGTGTGTGTACCGTGTGTATTGTGTGTGTACCGTGTGTATTGTGTGTACCGTGTGTATTGTGTGTGTACCGTGTGTATTGTGTGTACCGTGTGTATTATGTGTGTACCGTGTGTATTGTGTGTGTACCGTGTGTATTATGTGTGTACCGTGTGTATTGTGTGTGTACCGTGTGTATTGTGTGTGTACCGTGTGTATTGTGTGTGTACCGTGTGTATTATGTGTGTACCGTGTGTATTGTGTGTGTACCGTGTGTATTGTGTGTGTACCGTGTGTATTGTGTGTGTACCGTGTGTATTGTGTGTGTACCGTGTGTATTATGTGTGTACCGTGTGTATTGTGTGTGTACCGTGTGTATTGTGTGTGTACCGTGTGTATTGTGTGTGTACCGTGTGTATTGTGTGTGTACCGTGTGTATTGTGTGTGTACCGTGTGTATTATGTGTGTACCGTGTGTATTGTGTGTGTACCGTGTGTATTATGTGTGTACCGTGTGTATTGTGTGTGTACCCTGTGTATTGTGTGTGTACCGTGTGTATTGTGTGTGTACCGTGTGTATTATGTGTGTACCGTGTGTATTGTGTGTGTACCGTGTGTATTATGTGTGTACCGTGTGTATTGTGTGTGTACCGTGTGTATTGTGTGTGTACCGTGTGTATTGTGTGTGTACCGTGTGTATTGTGTGTGTACCGTGTGTATTATGTGTGTACCGTGTGTATTGTGTGTGTACCGTGTGTATTATGTGTGTACCGTGTGTATTGTGTGTGTACCGTGTGTATTGTGTGTGTACCGTGTGTATTGTGTGTGTACCGTGTGTATTGTGTGTGTACCGTGTGTATTGTGTGTGTACCGTGTGTATTGTGTGTGTACCGTGTGTATTGTGTGTGTACCGTGTGTATTGTGTGTGTACCGTGTGTATTATGTGTGTACCGTGTGTATTGTGTGTGTACCGTGTGTATTGTGTGTGTACCCTGTGTATTGTGTGTGTACCGTGTGTATTGTGTGTGTACCGTGTGTATTGTGTGTGTACCGTGTGTATTGTGTGTGTACCGTGTGTATTGTGTGTGTACCGTGTGTATTGTGTGTGTACCGTGTGTATTGTGTGTGTACCGTGTGTATTGTGTGTGTACCGTGTGTATTGTGTGTGTACCGTGTGTATTGTGTGTGTACCGTGTGTATTGTGTGTGTACCGTGTGTATTATGTGTGTACCGTGTGTATTAAGTGTGTACCGTGTGTATTGTGTGTGTACCGTGTGTATTATGTGTGTACCGTGTGTATTGTGTGTGTACCGTGTGTATTATGTGTGTACCGTGTGTATTGTGTGTGTACCGTGTGTATTGTGTGTGTACCGTGTATATTATGTGTGTACCGTGTGTATTATGTGTGTACCGTGTGTATTGTGTGTGTACCGTGTCTATTGTGTGTGTACCGTGTGTATTGTGTGTGTACCGCGTGGGCTGCTCGGCAGACAGCTGTCTCCTCGCGCGGTTTCGCTTCGTGCGCCCGTTTTATAGAACGCATCCACTTCTACCCGAGGTACCGCATAGCGCGAGAGAAAGCCTGTACTCGTGTCGAGGGTGGCGGAGTCGATCCACACCCACGGTTTGATTCCCCACTAAATGGAACTCATTTTCTCTATCCCGGAATATTACACATTGGCATTGTGACTTGCGCGACCTACCCCCACCACGCCAGCAACCCCACCAATAAAATCAGTAAATTATGAATCAGCATGAATTTAATAGAAGAAGACCTGATGCACGCAGCGCGATGAGAAGGAAAACCGGCACTCCGGTATATGGACACATGTGTAGGATGGACAGTCACAGGTAAATCTTGACTTATAGCTTTCGTGACTTGCAGGAATCCATATTCTTTGGGTCTTTCGGTAAAGTCACGCAGGTAGGTTCAAAGAAAATAACAGTACATAGTTTTTTTTTTAATCTACGTGACTTTACCGACAGACCCAAAGACTAACAACAGGTCAAATTAAAAGCGTGTTGTTGTTGTTGGATTAAAAACAAAATGGACAGGAGCTGGAAAGAGAGGAAGACCTCACAGAGAATGTGTTGATGACGACATCAGAGATTGGTGCCAGAGAGATGGGCCCACTACTTGAAGCTTGGCACGACAAGACAGAGGGGAAAGTGATGGTGAGTACAATGAATTACTAATATCATGAGCCAATAATGTGTGTGTGTCCCGCGCGTGACGTCACTCCACATGAAGCCCCCCCCCCCCCTCAATAATAATCATGAGCGGGTGACGTCACTCCGTATGCCGCACTCCTCCCCAATAACCATGAGCGGGTGACGTCACTCCACATGGGGCAACCTCCACCCCCCCCCCCTCATTAATAATCATGAGCTCAACAATTTTTCTATTGGAAATTTCAGATTTACCGCAATATACACCACGCCATTGGACGGGCAAACAAGCTAGTGATAATACAATAACTTTTTATTTTTATTTTATCGGTAACTATATTGTAAAACACCGTAACGTAATATTATTTTGACTGATTCATAGACAACTTGCAACAAATGTCCCGTGCCACGTACCGGCCGCGGGAACGACGCTTTTGTTCTTCCACTTGAGCGGCGGCGCCGGAGCGATGTTGTGGGCCCACGAGGTTCCACACGTGTCGTCGTACATCACCTCGTCCTCCTCCTCCTCATCGTCCTCCTCCTCCTCGTCTGATTGCGGTGGGGGGAGGGGTGGTAACATCGCGGCACCGGTCGAGTCACTGAGCCGTCGAAACAGCCATCACCGTTCTTCATCTTTTTTTTTCTATATATATATTTTTTTAATTCTATAATTGTGGAACGCTCTGATGTTTGTCTGACGACTGAGTCGCCTTTTGGGAAAAAAAGAGCTTCTTAGCTCTGCGGGCTTTACTCGGGCAACACACTTCTGATTCTTGTGATGTGACGTCAATTGCGTCAATTTGTTGTCCTTCCCCGGCACATCCGGCGAACGAGGCTGGACACGTACGGTGCGAAATAAAAATCAACGCACGTGCGTCATTGCGAGCGCGACCGGTGATAAAGGGAGGATGTGGGGAATGGTCCCCACGTCTGGGGCATTGTCATCGGTAAATGGGGCGCGCCACGCTGTTGAGACAGCAGTGAGGGTTGGCGGTGTCGCGGAAAGTTCCTTCTCACAGCGGCCGTCGATGAGGTGCCATACCCTGGCTCGCCGCCAGGAGAGTTAGCAGGCTCATCTCCATCTGTTTACATCTGTAGCGGGGATAGAGTGTTGTCCCCTCGCTTGCTTGTGTGGGGGTCCACCCCCCCCCCCTCCCCGAGTGCTCTGATTTCCTCCCACGTGTAGAAACAACTTATACATTAAATAAATAATACAACAATAATTGAAAAAAAAAAACCCGAAAAAAACATATAGCAGGGTCCTCCTGGACTCGCTGTGACTTTTCCTGGATAAAAAAAAAATAAGACGCGAGGCCAATTGATGTTTGTTTTGGTTAATACATTAAAAAAATATATTCCAACGTTACTGCACTTCGCAGCAGGAGTAGTTCACTAAACACGATGACACCGGAAATCATATTGGGGGGGTTAACATCGTCAAAGCGCGATTTTAACCCCCCCCCCCAAACACAGGGCCCAGGGCGGTCTCCCCAATTCGCCGTACCCTCGGGCCGTCTCTGGTCATCAGTAGTGCACGTGTAAGGCATCGTATCTGGTTTTTGTACTATACACGTGTTCAAAAAAAGATAACATTAAATAAGCTGGATGAAACGTGTCCTTTGTTTGCAACAACAAGATCAAGATAATCGTCAACGGCGTTGGCCGTGAGCGAGAAATCGAACGGGGCTCGCCGGCTTTTTTTGTTTTTTTTTAGTAGCGTAGTGCCCTAATCACTGTGCAACCGCTCTCCACAAATACAACACCACCACCAACAACAACCACCAACACCACAGCTATGCCACGTGAAAAAGTACGCCCAGGGCTTCTTTGTGTTGGATTTTATGAGCAAGGGAAAAGCCAGCCAAGTGTAGAGAGCCCATTTTCGGCGGGCATCCATCACGGCTGACAGTGGCCCTATCAGCACGGTCACTGTGCACCCAGAGAGAAAGGGGGGAGCGAGTTGGGGGGGGGGGGGGGGCATAGGACGGAGTGGGGGGGAGGTGCAAAGAGATTTTTTTTCCGCAAAGCCGTAGCAGAATTTGAAGCCATCCAACGACAATTAAAGTATTATTTTGGCAGGGCTCGGAGTGAGAACGCAAGATGAATGGCCCGGGCCTCGGCCAGGCTGTATCAAATTATGGCGGAGCAGCAGAAAGGAAAATAAAAACCCCTCTCCATCCTCCTCCTCGGACGGTAACGAGCCTGGTCCGTCAATTGATCTTGCGCGAGAGGGAGCGATCTTCATCCAACCACCACCACTACTACACACACGCCACTACTACTGCAAACTCTACACCAACCACCACCACCACTACACATACCACGACTACTGCTAACTACAGCACCACTACAACTAGACACGCCACTACTACTGCTAACTACACCACCATTTCTACTACACACGCCACTACTACTGCTAACTACAGCACCACCACTACTACTACACACACCACTACTACTGCTAACTCTACACACACCACTACACACACCACTACAACTGATAACTACACCACTACTTCTACTACACACACCACTACTGCTACTACACACACCACTACTACTGCTAACACTGCACCACTACTACTACTACTACACACACCACTACTACTGCTAACTACAGTACCACTACTACTACTACACACCCCACTACTACTGCTAACACTACACCACCACTACTACTACTACACACACCACTACTACTGCTAACTACAGTACCACTACTACTACTACACACCCCACTACTACTGCTAACACTACACCACCACTACTACTACTACACACACCACTACTACTGCTAACTATAGCACCACTACTACTACTACACACCCCACTACTACTGCTAACACTACACCACCACTACTACTACTACACACGCAACTACTACTGCTAACTCTACACACACCACTACTACTACACACACCACTACTACTACACACACCACTACTACTGCTAACTACAGCACCACTACTACTACTACTACACACACCACTACAACTACACACACCACCACTACTACTACACACACTACTACTACTACTACACACACCACCACTACTACTACACACCACCACTACTACTACAAACACCACTACTACTACACACACCACTACTACTACACACACCACCACTACTACTACACACAACACTACTACTACTAACTACACCACCACTACTACTACACACACCACTACTACTGCTAACTACAGCACCACTACTACTACACACACCACTACTACTGCTAACTACAGCACCACTACTACTATACACACCACTACTACTGCTAACTACACCACCACTACTACTACACACACCACTTCCACTGCTAACTATAGCACCACTACTACACACACCACCACTACTACTACACACACCACTACTACTACTAACTACACCACCGCTACTACTACACACACCACTACTACTGCTAACTCTACACACACCACTACTACTACTGCTAACTAAACACACCACTACACACACCACTACTACTGCTAACTCTACACACACCACTACTACTACTACTACACACCACTACTACTGCTAACTCTACACACACCACTACTACTACTACACACACCACTACTACTACTACTACACCCCACTACTACTGCTAACTCTACACACACCACTACTACTACTACACACACCACTACTACTACACACCACTACTACTACTACACACACCACTACTACTGCTAACTCTACACACACCACTACTACTACTACACACCACTACTACTACTACACACACCACTACTACTGCTAACTCTACACACACCACTACTACTACTACTACACACACCACTACTACTGCTAACTCTACACACACCACTACTACTACTACACACACCACTACTACTGCTAACTCTACACACACCACTACTACTACTACACACACCACTACTACTGCTAACTCTACACACACCACTACTACTACTACACACACCACTACTACTGCTAATGTAACTTGGCAGCTTTTGAGCTGTGTCGAGTGCGAAGGGGCCCACGAGAGTGGCGAGGGGGACAATTTGTGGCTGGGGGGGGGCCCAAGGCAATCGGAGTTCAATCGTAATCACAGCTTTCGCTCGCTGTATGCGGTCATAGGAGTGGTGGTGTAGTAGATGCGTTCCAAACAAATGAAAACAGAGAGGCGCACAGAACGAAAGCGCACGAGGCGACGGCTGCCTGCCGAGCGGTGCGCACACAGTACACACAGTACACAGCAGTACACACACAGTACACACAGTATACACAGTACACACACAGTACACACACACAGTACACACAGCAGTACACACAGCAGTACACACAGTATACACACAGTACACACAGTACACACACACAGTACACACACAGTACACACACAGTACACAAAGTACACACACAGTACACACACAGTACACACAGTATACACACAGTACACACACAGTACTCACAGCAGTACACACAGTACACACACAGTACACACACAGTACACACAGTACACACACACAGTACACACAGTACACACACAGTATACACAGTACACACAGTACTCACAGCAATACACACAGTACACACAGTACTCACAGCAGTACACACAGTACACACAGTACACACAGTACTCACAGCAGTACACACAGTACACATACAGTACACACACAGTACACACAGTACACACAGCAGTACACACAGTACACACACAGTACACACAGCAGTACACACAGCAGTACACACAGTACACACAGTACACACAGCAGTACACACAGTACACATACAGTACACACAGCAGTACACAGTACACACACAGAGTATATGCAGTACACACACAGTACACACACAGTACACACACAGTACACACAGCAGTACACACAGTACATACACAGTACATGCAGTACACACACAGTACACACACAGTACACACAGCACTACACACACAGTACACACAGTACACACAGCAGTACACACATTACACACAGAGAGTACATGCAGTACACACACAGTACACACACAGTTCACACACAGTACATGCAGTACACACACAGTACACACACAGTACATGCAGTACGTACACAGTACACACAGTACACACAGTACACACACAGTACACACATAGTACATGCAGTACACACAGTACACACACAGAGTACACACACAGAGTACACACACAGTACACACAGAGTACACACACAGTACATGCAGTACCTACACAGTACACCCAGCAGTACACACAGCAGTACACACACAAAGTACACACAGTACACACACAGTACACACACAAAGTACACACAGAGTACACACACACAGTACACACACAGAGTACACACACAGTACACACACAGTACATGCAGTACATACACAGTACACACAGTACACACACAGTACACACAAAGTACACACACAGTACACACACAGTACATACACAGTACACACAGCAGTACAAACACAGTATACACACACAAAGTACACACACAGTACACACACACAGTACACACACAGAGTACACACACAGTACACACACAGTAATGCAGTACATACACAGTACACACAATACACACACAGTACACACA